TAACGAAAAACGAGTTTGCGATTGAGTGACGTAAAGTATCACTCTGGATTACGCTGTTATTCTCAGCAATTGTGCCAAAAAACTTCACTTGAGTTGACTCTTTCGTTTGCTCAGTCCTGATGATTTTGCCACTGATAGCAACGAATCACTTCGACTGTTAGCAAAACCTTTTTAACTCTGCTTTATGTTTGAGTTTCCTCTAACCATGCACGTTAAGCCGTCAGTTAAAGCACAAACTATTTGAGTACGGAGGGAATAGCCAAACCATGGACCGAATGTCAGTTAACAATCTCGATTAAGATACAACAAAAGTACACACGAAGTTGATCGCTGTCCCCAGCTTTCTATTGTGAGTCTTCGATTATGATTCGCTATTCGTATGAACAAATGTGATTCGTTCATCTTCCTCGTATTTCAGAGTTGCTCAGTCCGTAGATCGTCGACCTCAGAACCGAGTGGTCATCGGTCTGGCCACTCACTCGTCTTTCTTATGAGGCTGAGAAAGGAACCGTTGACTAGAAACTGTGCATACCACATTTCTGAATACTTTCAAAAGACTTTGCATTTTTCACTAATTATGAAAGTGTATGAAAGACCGACATCCAAACGGTTACAAGCTTTCCTTCCAATTTTGCTCTTCCTCATATGAAATAAATAAAATGACAGTATCGTTTTAATTAAAATTTTCTTACGTCAGAAAATTAACATCCCACTGCGAGGCATCCACACTCAGTGAACTTTCAGTGCAATCAAAAAGACGCAGCTAACGTTATAAAAACTAGCGAATGATAGAACAGCATCGCAAGCGTGAGGAATTTTGCTGATCAAGAACGCAGTTCGAAATTGACGAACTTCTCCTCACCGTTATCGATCATACATGGTCTTCAGGCAATTCAAATTCTGAAGCCCTTTTGCGAAAATGTGAGCAACGAAAATTCTGCTGCCCATCGAAATAACGTTTTTGTTCCCAGTGGCTAAGGACACTTTTCAGTCAAACCATGGTCTTAACAACAGAAAACTTGCAATGCTGGATTCAAAACTGTATCATCGTGTTAAGCCGACAAAATAGGTGAAATGACATGCGATAATCAGTCTTGTCAGCGGCATTGAAAACCATCAAGCCCATCATGTAAATACAATAAAAAGTTTCAGTTATCGGTAATGACCACAACCTCAACTGCACCTCAAAGCAAGGGTGCAGTAATTCACTACCAGATCTTCATGTTTCTTGTGCAATGCTTAAGGTTTCCTCATTTTATCGATTTACAGAAAGTTACATCACTCATATAGATAACTAAATCCCTCTTCTTCCACTTTCCGTTGGATTTCTGCCAATATTATGAAATGTACGCAATTAAAATGTACGTTTGGACTCACTATTAAAGAGTTGCTGTATGTTTCTTTTAGCGGCCATAGGCAACTACCTATAAGTCTTTAATGTGAACGTGTTTCATACCAATTTATCCCTGCTTCACTTTTTATCCCTTTCACCCAACCCCTCAACAGCATTCTTTTCATTTCTGTTGTACATTTGCAACATCTTACTCTTCTATAGCTAGGTGGTTGTAATGTTTCACGATTTTCTGCGTAAATTTACATTTCATTGCTTGTAAGGCAAACGCACCTTTGAAGAAAAAATCAGCAAGGTTTCAAAGTTTCCCACATTTCTGTAATGGACCGGACCCATTTTTTCGTACTTCTACTTCACTAGCCTTTTGGTTTGCCGAAAATCGCACCGACCGGATGTCCTCTAATTATGAAGGTAACATCAAGAATACAGCTACGTAAAAAGCACAGGATACTCTCCTGAACGAACGGCAAAATTTCGTCATCCTCACCAGTTGATATGTCTTGTGTTAGTACATCCATGCGACATTTATTGCATGCTTTAACAGGCAAAGGTAAAGCATTGTTTTTTTCAGAAATAGGAAAGCAAAGTTTAGGAAGTGTTAGACAGAAAACAAGCAAGCGTTGAATACTTCTGTTCAGGCAGGCGTCCTGGAGACGGCAAGAGAGAACAGCTTCGGGCCGAGCAGAGGGAAGACAGGCATATCGACCAAGG